ATATGCAATGTAAAAACTAAGAGTTAAAACCAGGACTGTGTCAGTGCACAACCCAAGGAACTGTATGTAGTGGTCTGCACAGACTCCCAGATTGTATCACTATTATGTCAGTTAGTGATAATGGGGGAGTACCTGCCCAAGGTATTACTGCTTATTTGTAGCAACACTAAGGACAGTCCCTTATTTCTGGCAACTACTGATAAATACTCAAAGGATTTGTGGACAGTCAGCGGGACTTGCTTTTCTAGAGAACAGGGAAACAGGTAAGACAGTCTTTATCCTTAAGAAATAAAAGATGAAATTGATTTCAGCTCTCTTTTCCCCAAATTCATTTATTAATAATTAACATATTAATTACACGATTCCTTTCTATTTATTAATGCAAGTCCCTCTGGCCCTCTCTCCTTGCAAACACTTTGCAAGGGTAGTTATTGTATGTGCTTGCTTGAAGGTAGAAAAGTACTGTTTCATTAAGTATACTGTAATTAAACAATTTTACACATTTAGTTTGGCTACATTCCATCTGTATATTTAACAATTCAGATTTTAGAGCATTAATACACATTTCTACCATTTTCCTTGCTTCATAGGAATTTTTTTCTTGATTTCTTATCTCCTTGTTCCTGTGCCCCTGGGGCTCAGTGAATGAGTGGCCGGGCAGGAACTGAGTCCGCCCTGCTGTGGGAAGGGCAGCTCTGAAGTCGGCCTCCTTTGGTTAGAACCCTGGCTTGACCTGGTTATTCTCTGTGCACTCTGGCCAACTTTTTAATTTGTTCTGTGCCTTAGTTTCTTTGTAAAGTGGAAAAATGACAGTACGTATCACATAGTGTGTTGTAAAGATTAAGAATTAATATATGAAAAACACTTTGAGCAGGACGCAGGACACAACACCATGTCGAATAAATGCTGGGTGCCATTGCTAACATGCAGGAGAAGCTGCTTCTGACAATACAATGGTCAGCAAAAAAAGCTTGTAAGATATTTCCCCATGAGAGCTCTCTGCAACAAACAAAAACACACACAACCAGAAGAAAGCCACAGAGAAAGAACAGGAACAGAAGCATGAGACTGACAGCTTCCTGGGTGACTCATGAGTGGGCCTTTCCAGAGACATTTAACTTATACCTTTAAGATGCAAGTGATGGAGTCAGCGGGTGGTATGGTGGTTAAGGTATTGAACTCCCACATGGCTAACTACGGTTCGAGCCCTGACCTGGCAGCTTGAAAATCATGCTCACAATCCCAAAAGGAGAATGGAAGTGAAGGGACTGCAGCATGGCCATGCCCCTAGGGGGGTGATTTCTCACTTTCTCTCTGTCTCTGGCGAGCTCATGTACCCAATAGCAAAAATCTCTTAAAAGATAAAAAAAAAAAAAAAAAAAAAAGCAAGTGGTGGGGTCAGTGGGTGGCATGGTGGTTAGAATGCTGAACTCTTACATGGCCGACCATGGTTTGAGTCCTAGTCCTGGAGGCTTGAAAATCACACCAGGCGATGTGCATGTGTGCCCAAAATCCTAGGAGAAGGGACTACAGGCTGGCCATCCCCTTAGGAGGTAATTTCTCACTTTCCTTCTTTCTGTCTCTCTCTGGCAAGGGCATGCACCCAATGGCAGAAACCTTAAAAAAAAAAAAAAAAGATACAAGCAAGTAGTTAATTAAGAAGGGTAAGAAGGGTAAGTAAATTACTCTTCATTTGCGCCCTTGTCTAAGAGAATCAAAACAGAAACTGAAAAGTCAGAACAGTCACTGAGTGGGCCAGCACACCTTAAGGCCATTCTCTGTCAGGGATGGGGGCTCCACGGGAGAAAGAAGAGGTGGAGGGTGGAACTCGAGCCTGGGAATGCTGGGCACTGACTTTAAGTGCCAGGCAAACAGAGGGCCACACTTGGAGGTGGACATGCCTGCCATGGCACCGGGCAGGAAAACAGCATGGGGAGGGGGCGCCTCGTTCCAAACTGCAGAAAGTGCTGATACTGGAAAATGTCACCCTATCTTGAACGATTCCTACTGTCAGTCTATACTCTGTATCTATATTTAAATAAAGGCCAAACAAAAACCCTGTTGACTATCTAAGCAAATTGTTACAGAAGGATCTGGTAGGCTGTTAATATAAAAGGCCCTGGAGTAGAAGCTAACTTGAGGCTCATGCAACATCAGAACCGGAAGTAACTCCCAAGGTCATACAATCCAACCTTCCTGTTTCCCAGAGGAAAAATGATTCGGGGAGAGTGATCAATTTTCCAAGAACACAGAGCGGTTTGGATGAGAGCTCTCTCAGGTTCAGTGCTCTCGGAGTTCTCATAGAAAGTGATTCTGGAAAATTGAGGGATTTATTCATAGAAGACATTCATTCTGGAGAAATGACATCCCCTGCTATTAAGTCCTGGAAAACAAGCTCTTACTGAGTTGTCACAAAGTCACAAAGGACTCATCAGAGAGTCCCCGGCTGTCCTCACGGGTTCTGAGCAGAGAAAGAGGTTCAGGGACTGAACCACTGTAGAGTGAGGAGACCTATTTCAAGGACCCGCGAGGCCCTCTACCAGTAAGTGTGGTAGGCAGGTGGGTGCACTGGCGGTGGCAGGACTCCTAGTCCTGCTCCCAGCTCAGCCACAAACTGCCACGTGTCACCGTCCCCTGGGGCTGACAGGGAAGAGGCAGACTATTCCTGTCAACTTAAGTTCCTGAGGCTGACCGGAACTCATGACACAGAAGACTGTGGGGCGTGGTGTGACAGGAGCTGGCTAGAACAAAAAGCCTCTCTCCACTCCGACCATAGCACATGGCGAGGGCACGAGGGTGTCCAGGAAGACTGTGAAGCCCTAGGTATTCTAGTACGGGTTTTCCAGCAGCAGAGAGAGATGGAATGTAAATATAACAGTGATAGAAGGGGAGGAAACCAGTGTAGCACTGGAAATGCCTCAAGTTTTTCAGAAAAAAGGTAAAGAGCTAGAGAGCTCACTGACTTTTCTTTTCTTTTTTGAGAGGTTTTTGCTATAGGATACGTGCACTCACCAGAAAGACAGAGAGAGACAGAGAGATAGAAAGTGAGAAATCGCCCCCTGGGGGGGATGGCCACGCCTCAATCCCTTCTCCTCCAGTCTCCTCTCGAGATCTTGGGCATGCACACACATATGCCTGTCATGAGTTTAAACCACCGGGTCCAGGACTCGAACCGCGGTCGCCTACATGGGAGTCCAGCAACATAGCCATTATGCTAACTGCTGGTCCCACTAACTGACTTTTCAAACTGTCAAGTACTATTGGGTTATCAGAAAAGTCATGACATATTTTTCTATGCACAATTGGGTCATGACTTTTCAGATGACCCAATAGAAATGGAAGAATCAGATTTTCTGAGAAACACCAGGTAAGACGGTAAGCAGGTGCACTGGCCTTGAGGGCACTTCCTGGCAGCTGGAAAACTCCCGGAGCCTCAGGACAGCTCGCTCTGCAAATCAGATGCCAACGCCAAAGCAGAGGGTAAGCCTCCTCCTGCGGTTTCCTAGTGGACACTCGCTGTCGCCACGTGGCAATGCTCCTGGTATTTTCAGAAGCGAGGGTACTCTGGGAACCCTGCCAGATGATATTCTCTTTAAATAATCCACTAATGTCTAATTCAAATAAACAAACTATAAAGAAGGTGCTAAATTTAAAAGTCTTATTGCCGAAAGTGACTTAGAAAAAAACACACATACTAGAGGCCAAGTGAAAAGGCTTGACGAAGGATTCCACGTGTTCCGGACGAAACCCTTCCAGGAAGGGCACGCGGGCAGCGGGGCACGGGGCTGCCACCCTACTCTCATCTAATCTCCCGGGAGGTACACATTCGTGGTGGCCCTCGTCCCGTCCCCGAGTGCAGCAGTCAGACTGCTGATGACCCGGGAAGCCAGAGCTGCTGCCCCCTGCTGAGCACCTCAGAGACAGGCAGGGACGCGCTGGGGGAAAACTTTTTGCACGGTGGCTCAGGGCTCCATGGCAATTCTGAGAAGGAGGGGCAGAGTCAGAATCCACCACGGCAAGCCATTTTAAATCAGAATCTTCCCAAGGACAAGGCTGTCTCCTGACAAGCATTTAGAACCACAGCAGAGGTCGGGGTCGACCCCTGTGCTGATAAATACCCAGTGAAGAGCGCGTCTCACATGCCTGGTGCCTGGAAGCCGAGTGAATGGTGGCTGTGATCATTCTCCCTGCCATTCCAGGCAACGGAAGGGCCTTGGGCTTGGGTCCGCCTTATAGATCTTAAAACATACCGGGCCATCGGGAGAGTCGTGACATATTTTTCTGTTTTCCTATGCAAAAATGTGTCATGACTTTTCTGACAAGTGAATAATATTCTTTACTTCAAGCTATACTTGCAAAAGTTATCTGAAATCTAAGGAACAAACCAACAAAACACAGAAAGAGAACATTTTGACTCAGCTATAAAACTGAGATTTCCTAAGGGCAACACATTTGGCATATTGAAAAATAAAATGCACATACTGCAGTTGCAGATTTTATTTCCCTTCCTAACATTTAGATTATATAGCAATGATTCTTCCCAATGAAGAGACTGGAAGTCTTTGCTTTCTTTTAAGATTTGTTGGGTGGAGTTTCACTGTATAGGCCATTAAATACTGCTGAGTATGACCTCAGAATAACAAAAAAAGTGAAAATTATTATTTTACCACATTGGAATACCCAGTACTATTACAATATATAGAGAACTAACATTCAATAATAAGAGGAATTCATGTTTGGAGCCTAGATCCTGGCTTCACAGTTCCTCATATCCTTCTGTTGGGTAAACTGCTTAAATGTTTCTGTAACTCAGTCTCTTTTTTTAGGGAAAGTTAGGACTAGGCCCAGCAGTGGTGGCACAGGAGTAGCACAAATGTTCTTTAATGCTGGAAGGAAGTCACATGGCCAATACTAAAATTCTAAAGGACCGGCACTTAACAAAGGTTTTGTCACGTACGCCAGTGCACTCTGGAGACTGCTGTTTGCACCTGTCGCCGTACCTTGTGGTCCATACTGGCTCATCTGTGGACCGTACGTCCCACTTGAGTTACTCTGCTGAAAGCTGCTGATTCCAGGATGCATCTGGCCCCCAGGAGAGGGGTGGGGTGACATGGATGGTCCTGTCTGCTGAGGTCCATACTGGGACATCGGAGGGTTTCTTTGTGTACCTGCCATAAAACCTGAGCGAGAAAGAAAGGAAAACACATAAGTACAGGTGTTCTGTGGTCGTTGCAGATGTGGACGTGGACGCAGAATCATGTGGATGACGGTGGAGAGCAGGTTGTTCTGCGAGATTCCCCAGAGAACACCCACGGTCTCCCTCCTCCCTACGTGAGGGCCTGGAAGGCACCATGGGGATGCTCGGTCCTAACCCTAAGATGGGATTTAAGCCCGCAGGGGCCCCCCACGAACGATGGGCTTGAATTAGGGCAAGGACAAAGAGGAGAAGAGGGAAGCAGCCTGACCTCTCCCACAGATGAGGCTCCTACACTGAGCAGCAGGAAGAGCTGGGGCCCTTCTCCGCAAATCTACTCCCGTCAGCTGGACACTTGTGCAAGCCGCTCCTGAGCCCGTGCACATTTCCTGAGCCCTGGGCTGCAGCTCTCTGGTCACAGCATCCTCCGTTCTCTCATACCCGGGCAGCACCCAGTTCTCCCCTGCACGGAGCTGCTCTGCTCTGACCTCCTGGGGCAGCAAGTGCTCACCCTGACTCCTCAACAGCCTGCGGGTCTACGGATACTGAGCCACGCTACCCCGACGGGGGTTCTGACCCGGGGCCTGCTGTCCCTGCTCTGCCCAGGCCCCTCCCCAGGGCTCCCTCAGACATGACAGCAAGTCCGTGCCTACCCTGAGTGGTTCCTCGAGTTATTTCCACTTGTACAGAAACCGGGTCCCAGATGCTGCCCCCTCCTGCCCACACACAGCAACGGCCTAATGGCTCTCAGTCCCATGCTTGCCTCCCCGCCCGCCTCCCCTTGCTCTTTCTGGCTCATTTTTCACAAAACTGCCAGAATTACCTTTCAGAAATTAAAAAAAAAATAAAGAACATATCTCTTCCTGCACAATACCTCCCAAGGCATCCCGCTGACGAGGAAAGGTGCCAACACCTGCCCCACCACGGAGGCCTCACATGGTCCGGCGGGTGCCATTCTCACGTTAATCCCATTTCTTCCTCCCTCTGCTGCCCTCCGGGCCCCACCAGCCTTGCTTCCTGGCACTTTCTGCACCCACTGTCTGTTGGCACGTTGTCTTATTCCTGACTTCCTCGTCACCTCTCCTCCCACTAAAACAAATGCCAGCGAGGACAAGGATCAGAGCTGGACGCACGGCCACACCCAGAGGCCTACCCTGCGCCAGTGTGCGGCACACGGAGGAGTAAGGCTGTGTGAAGGCGTAGACGTGCCCAGCCAAGCCTTCAAGCGCAACACAGAAGGGGCCTGGTGGGCAGATATTTCAAATGAGTAAAGAAAACGTGCTCCACCCTAAAGGTGCAGAGCCGTCCTGTGTGTTGGTTGTTCAGGCCGACAGGAGTGTGTGGAGCGCTCTGGGAAATCCTCCCTTGGACAGAAGGCCCCAAGTTAGGACAGGCATCAAAGAAAAGGCGGACATTATCAAACCACAAAGTAACCAGGTGTCGCCTGAAAACCAGCTCAGGAACCAGTGTTGGTGCTGGTGTGCAGGTGTCCGGGTTCCCAGTGAGGGTTCCAGCTGGGGTGCAGGGAGGGGAGGTGCTGCTGGCTCCAGGAGGTCCGCGAGCAGCGGTTTCCTGAGCAAGTCTACAGGGGCCCAGAGCCGGAGCGGAAGATGACACCCAGATCCACAGCGTATTTAACAAGACACTCAGTAAGAAAAAAACTATTTTAACACTGCTTCTGCCTAAGAGAGAGACATAAAAGCAAGCAGAGCTATGCCTTATTATCTTATTTAATTCATTTATAAAGATAAGCCTTATGAAATTGGGCTCAACTGGCAGCTCCCAGATATAAATCAACTTAGAAAATGTTTGCTTTTTCAAATCTGAAAACAAACAGAAGTCAGAGTATTAAAATTACTATAAATTATAGCATCTTAAGATGTTACATGAAATATTTATCTAAGCTTTACTATAAAATTCCCAAGAGTTTCAAATAGCATCTGGTTTGATAAAAACTGTGTGCAATTTGACACGCACTGTGTGGCGCACGCAGCACCCCCCCACCCCGACACACACACACGCACTCTCATGAGGGCGACTGCTTTCCTGTCACCGGCTAAGGAAATAACACGGGTCCTTCCATGAGTATTAAATTCCACCAAGGTGTCCATGCCAAAGGACTTAGGACCTCTGATAAGAGAAAATATTCCTGTTTTTGTTGTTGTCATCTCAGGGACAATTAATACAGGCTTAACGTTTGTTCAAAGGAGTGCTAATAATTATTACACAGGAGAGTTATTTCTTTATTTCTGACTCGGTCCTTATTAATGCATAGATCCTGTTCCACTTCGACTTTCTCAATGAGCACTGGTATTCTGCAGAAAATCAAGTTTGTGAGGAAGCTCTGCATAACCTTAAAGGCAATTCAAATGCAGTGTGTTACAGCATCAGCTACTCCTGTCAGAGGGACATAGTTGAACGGGTGTGGCATCTACCTCCATGAAGAAATGAACACTGGAAAACTTATGTTTTAAATGGCAACACTTACACTGAAAGCCTGTCTGACATTTCCAGTGAGAGTCACCCTCTTCCCTGTGTGGCCCACGACCACGAAAGCGCAGGTGACGGCAGGGCCACCCTACAGTCTGGCTTGTGTCGCGAGCTGAGTCTAGTGGCGGGGTGGGTGTGGAAGTAGAACGGCTGCGGTGCACACTGCATCCCGCGGGCCGTGCGGCCTTAGCCGACCCTCGTTTCCCTAAGCCTGGGCTCGCTCATCGGAAAATGAAGATGGAGTTCCCGTCAGGATCAGCCGGGACGACAGTGAAGACGTCCTGTACTCCGTACGGAGGGACATGTGGGAAGAGGTAACTTTCTGGCTTATCAACTGCCACGAGTGTCTTTTGGGTCTGGAAGATGCCATGTGCTCAGATGCGATTTCTAGCTAGGATGAACACACTAGTTTTTATCTCTACATTTGACTTTTATTTAAATATGTGAGATTCACATTACTCTAGTACTTATGGAACTGCAAATTCCAAAGGGCTGAGAAGGGTTCATTCCAGAAGAAGCTTCCAGCTCTGTCTGCTACCACAGAATGCCCCTGGTCTGTGACAAGGTTTTCAACCTATCCTTTTAAGTTATTTTATAATTTGTGGTTGTGTTTGATTTTGTATCTCTTCTCGTGAGTAAATGTAAACATTGTTTATCAGCTGTTCTTGTTTCCTTTCCTATCTGACCATTTTCTATCAAATTCCAGGGTCTTGTTATTTTTTATGGCTGAGTAGTATTCCATAGAGTATATATACCACACTTTTCCAATCCATTCATCAGTTTGTGGACATTTAGGTTGGTTCCATGTCTTGGCAATAGTGAATAAAGCTGCAATAAACATTGATGTGCAAGCACTTTTCTGACTGAGCGTTCTCCTGTCTTTTGGGTAAATACCCAGAAGTGGGATTGCTGGATCAAATGGTAGTTCTATTTGTAGATCCCTGAGGAACCTCCATATTGTTCTCCACAGTGGTTGAACTAGTTTACATTCCCACCAACAGTGTAGGAGGGTTCCCTTTTCACCACATCCCCGCCAACACTTATCACTTTTTATATTCTTAATCTTTGCCATTCTGACAGGGGTTAGGTGGTATCTCATTGTGGTTTTTATCTGCATTTCCCTTATGATGAGGGATGTCGAGCATTTCCTCATATGCTTTTTGGCTGTTCGTATATCTTCCTTAGAGAGACTTTTGTTCAGCTCACTTTCCCATCTTTTAATCGGGTTAATCATTTTTTTTCGCATAAGGCACTTGAGTTCCCTATGTATTCTGGTTATCAGTCCCTTGTCTGAGGCATATTTGACAAAAATATTTTCCCATTCTGAGGGTTGTCGGTTCACACTTGTTACTGTGTCCTTTGCTGTGCAGAAACTTCTTAGTCTAATATAGTCCCACTTGTCTATTTTAGGGATTATTGCCTTTGCTTTGGGAGTCTTATTTAAGAAGTCTTTGCCTACTCCAATGTCTCCCAGAGTTTCCCCAGCATTTTCCACAAGTAGTTTTATTGTCTGAGGTCTTAGGTTCAGATCTTTGATCCACTTTGAGTTGACTGTTGTTAATGGTGAAAGATGGGGGTTCATAAAAACAGACATGTGGACCAATGGAAGAGAATAGAGACCCCAGAAATAACCCCCAAAGCTTATAGCCAACTGATCTTTGACAAAGGATATCAGTCAATCCATTGGGAAAAGGAAAACCTCTTTAGTAAATGGTGCTGGAAAAACTGGGTATCCACTTGCAGAAAGATGAAACTGAACCCCCAGTGTAGTTTTCACGCTGCTGAGGCTGGACCCTAAACGGCAGCTGGCCATGTGGGATCTGGCTCCCTTAACCCCTAGGCCACAGGGCTGGCCCTTGACTTGTGTTTTTGAAAGCCAATTCTGTCCCGAGTCTTCTCACTTGTTGAAACGGGAAGAGGGGCTCAATAGTCCTGCGAGTACTTCTGGCTCCACGATTTCAGTTTAGATATTTCCTTTCTTAGGAAAAATCTAAATTGGGTTTATAATTTCCAAGTATATTTATGTGGGGATAATCCTTTTCTGTTTGTATAAATCTTCACTTTGAATGAAGTAATTATTTCCCCAAAATAAAATTAAAAACATTTCAGTCAAGAATTTTATATCTACTTATGGCATCATATTTATTTGATTGTATTTTGCTTCTTTTAGAAAGTTACTATAAAACAGCAGCTTGTAACATAGTTTAAGAATAGCAAAACTAACAGCTGAGAAAAAGCAGCTGCATTTCTAAAAGGTGTGACATTTTTCCAGTTACAAGCCATATGAGTTTAGAAAACCAAGCTTTCTAATAAGAAGAATTTAGGAAGTATAAAATAAATTTCCTATATATTAAAAAAGTATATTAAGTTATTAAATGGATTACAGAATTATATATCCCATGTAAATAACATAGGTAAATTTAAACTTTGGGCAAAGTACTAAATCAGGTCATTATGATTTATATTGTACAAAACAAACTTTCTTAGAAAGTCCAC